TACTGTGCAAAGCTAGCCGTAAGGTCAGGGCTGGCAGTTCCATCAACCATTGCTAAGTTTAAAGAAATAGTCTTCAAGCCAAGGCAGGCTGTTTGGCTCGATTGGTTGAACTCATGACTTGAGCAACTTTTCCCCTACCCCCATGACCTCTTGGATCTGTTTCAGATGGGTAAGACGAGAGCGTTTTTATTTGTATGCACCATTTCCAAAAGTTACGTAAAGTAGTGTATCATACATCATTGAGAGTCAGCACGCCTAGTTGTGAATCTCTGATACACCACTCGCCAGCTCTGTGATTCTCCGACCCTCAGTCTCCTTATTATAAATTGGGACAATAACGCTACGTAAGTCACTTAAGTGCTATTCTGAGGTTTGAGGTGAGTGCTAGGCACAGAACCCGTCTAGTATTTGTTAGCTAGATTTTTCCCCAGTTCAGTCACTTCCCAGCTGTCCTTGCTCACTCAAGGGAGCAGGTGCATGGATGACGGGTCGCTTTCCCCCAGGATCTTGTGCATCCGACATTTTTCTTCAATTTCAGAAGTGCATTCTGTGCTTTAAATATGCACTCTCTGGTTTCACGTGGGCAGGTGGCTAAGAAAACTGCCCAGATTAGTGTTGAGTAATCAAATAGAGGAAAACCAACCTTAAGTGACAAATGTCCATAGTGTGAGAACATGGACGGAGAAAGCTGAAAAGTATAGAAACAGCCTGTATGTACATCCTGTCAACGAAAGGAATAAATACTTGTTAAGGTGGAGTAGTGAGATTTAAAAGGCATTCCTTAAAAGATAATGAAATCCTGTCTTTTGCAAAAAAAAAAAAAATGGATGCAACTGGAAATCATTATTCTTAGTGAAATAAGTTGGTCCCAAAAAGATAAATATCAAAATACTATATAAGTATATTTTACAATTTGGTCTATACTTAGTAACAAATTTGCATTTTTGATGTGATGTAATAAAAGCTTTTTAAAGTAAAAAAAAGACAAATGTTTTCACTGCTCTGTGGTAACTAACAGACTACAAAAAATGTAATGTATAGGAACAAAATTGACATTTTGAGATCTGATTATTGTTTATAGTCCTTGTATCCACTGTTGAAGAACGGTGGTTTTTTCTTCTTACTATTTGTTGAATTGCTGTTTAGTAAAAGGTTAAGCTTACAACTATGAAATAAACTGAATGTACATCATTGTAAAAATTAAAATAATAAGAAAAGAAGGAGGAAAGAAGGTAGCTGCATGGGTGGGAGGGCAGGTAGTGTGGGAAGTAACACTATGCTTCTAAATATGTATATATGAAACACATGAAATTTGTTCACCTTATATAAATATAAAAATTATATTAAAAATTAATTTTAAAAATTTAAAAAATAAAAGGCATTCCCAACCACTTATGACAAGTCTGTTGCTCAATTCTCATTTCAGTCTCCAAATGATAGGGGCAGGTAGGGTGGAAAGAAACTGACAGGTTCACACCATCATCTCATGGAGGTGATATGAGGAAGTCTGCAATGTTATCATATCTGGCTAAATAGGAAGGAGACCAAGCTACTGCCCCTGAGAAATGTCACATAGGTCTTGGGAATTCTAGATTCAAACCCATAGGTGATCAGACAGCCTGGCACTACCAGGGCAAACAGTGTCCCAGAGGTGAGGCTGAAAGCCAGAGGAAGAAATGGGAAAAGATCCAGAGATTGAAATGATCATACTGCCCAAGAGAGGGATGAAAAATGTCTACCTCAGGCTGGGAGTAGCTATTAAAATTTTCAATATTCGTAAAATTATTTAGCATTTCACAGCACTGAAGTTATTTTAGAATCTGCTATAGGATCTCTGAATCTACCATAGAAATTTTCTCATGAGTACAAAATATGTATTAAAAAAAAGTCTGTGGGAGAAAAAAATGAACTATGGATAATACTATGCCCTTTGTTTATTTAGTGTGTATATACATCCATGCAGAAAAGAAAATCTTTTAAGTATGCATGGAATTCTAGTTCTCCAGCAGTGGAATTATAGGGAATTTAGTGTTTTATATTATAAAATACAAATAAATGTGTTCATTATTTGAAAATGCAAACAATGTAATATAATGTTAAATATTGAAGTTTCTCTCTCCAATCTAACTTCAGAAGGCAACCACATAAAAGGGGATCATCAAAATATTCATGGAAAATACAAATTATGAATAAAATCTCATAACTTTAAAATCTTTTTGCACCAAAATAATCTTTTAATTCCATCTCCATGAACTTTTTGAGATACATTTGTACACATCAACATCAACACAAATACATACAACATAAAGTTGATATTTTCCTCATTAACAGAGAATTATTCTATATTCATCACTCTGTAACTTGATTTTGTCATTTAAAATGTCCCAGTCAGTATTGTAATAATGACAACCCAGCTTAGCACGAAGAGGGAGACCTTAGCCCTCAGACCACCTACATTCAAATTCCAGGTTTACCACTTATGTGGGATCTGCTCATTAACTTTGCTAAACTCTAATTTTTTGTCTGTAAAACTGGAATGATAACAGTGCCCATCTCTTGGGATTTGGGGAAAATATAAAAGATGTGTAAAGCACTAAGCTCGATGTACACACATATTAAGGGTTTAAAAGATGTTGGCAAGTAGTAGAATTATCTAATTTCCTTAGATACTGCATGACATTGAATAAGAAGAATGTACCACAAAATGTTGAACAATTCACCAATTTATGAATATCCAGGTTGTCTCCTCTGTGATCATTTTGTCTGGCTTAATATTACAGGCAACACTACAAGTCAAATATGCCTGTATCTTTGCATTACACAAGTAAATCTATTTCTAAAGGATAGATTTCCATGGTGGTAGCATCAGATAAAGGGCTGCAAATATTCAATTCCACTGCATCCTACAAAAAGTTCATGCTGATTTTCCCTCTTAACTGCCAATACATGATCATCTATTTTCTTTTGGATACTGTAACAAAAATGCATTGCCAATCTGATGAATGAAAACGTATTTCAGACCCATATGTATTTTTTTGATTATAAGTAGGATTGACCATCTTGATATACACCTTCTTTGGCAACTGTGTTAGAGATTGTTTTTCTTGGGAAAATAATATATATTCTAGCTACTCTTATGACCTCTTTTTGTATATTATTCAAATTTTTGAGCACAATATTTTTCACTATGATGTCTACATTTCATATCTCAGTTGGCGTGACTGTCACTATAATATAAAAATTTATTTCTGGCTAAGACTAATTTTATACTCCGCATTTTTACTTTTGAATGGTTTATTCATGTGGGATTTCTTTCTATGTGTGAATAAGATAGAAATCTTGTTTTTTAATCTTCCGCCTGCAGCACCAGCATCCCATATGGGCGCCGGATTCTAGTCCGGGTTGCTCCTCTTTCAGTCTAGCTCTCTGCTGTGGCCTGGGAGAGCAGTGGAGGATGGCCCAAGTGCTTGGGTCCCTGCACCCACATGAGAGACCAGGAAGAGGCACCTGGCTCCTAGTTTTGGATCAGTGTAGCACCAGTCGTAGCGGCCATTTGGGGAGTGAACCAACGGAAGAAAGACGTTTCTCTCTCTCTCTCACGCTGTCTATAACTCTACTGGCTACTTTGGTGAAATTATCCTAAGTTTCACATTTTTCAGATAAATGGCATAGATTTTCTAAGAAAACAATCATACAACCTATAAATAGTGATCATTTCATCTTCTCTTTTTAAAAATATTTATTTATTTTTTGAAAGTCAGAGTTACACACAGAGAGGAAGAGAGAAGGAGACACAGATCTTCCATCTGCTGGTTCACTCCCCAAATGGCCCCAGTGGCCAGGGTCTGGCCAGGTAGAAGCCAGGAGTCAGGAGATCCTTCCAAATCTCCCATGTGGGTGCAGGGGCCCAAGCACTTGAGCCATCTTCTGCGTCTTTTCCAGGTACATTTGCAGGGACCTGGATCAGAAGTGGAAGCAGCCAGATATCAAACTAGCACCATATGAGATACCATTGTCACAGGTGGTGGCTTTACTGGCTCTGCCACAATGGCGACCCCAATGTACTTTATTTCTTTAGTTTTTCCTTTTCAGTGGCTTAGTCTACCATCCAAGCAAAACAGTTTAATAGTCATAAAAGAAGCTACTCAACTATGCCTTTCAATGATATTGGTGGAAATGGGACTCTGACATGCTAAGTTTTATATTCCTGTACCATTTGAATTTGTGAAATAAGAATTTCTATGTTCTGTACTCAGGAAGAAAATTAATATATTTAAACAACTACTCACACTAACATGGGCTATTGGTAGGACTTCATTTTGAGTGGCATCTCTGAGACAAAAATATTTTAGACAAATATATTAGACAATATATATTGGGCAAATAATGTTAGCCAAACAAAAATCTTCAAGCATTGTGAAGATATTTCTCCTAAGGCTTCAGGAAGTCTATGGGAATGCAGTGGGTACCATGGAGCACTAATCAGCTTAGACTCTCATTACTACTCCACTATCACTACCACCTCCCAAACTGTAAGACAGTGAATCACAGACCTCATTCATGGGGAACCATTACATTAAAGCATCTTAATCCAAAGGTAGGTATCAGCATTGTCTTCCACGGAGACATAAATAAAAAGCTAGCAAGCTTGTCAAGAATTAATTCAGGGGGAATATTTGAAATGGAAAAGGAGAATAATTCAGACCAACCGGGTGACATAGAAGTTCGTAAGGACATATGGAAACCCTTTAGTTCCTAATTTAGAGGTCATCCTGGGCATTTTTAAACGATCTTACTGCATTTCATGCATTAATTATTTCTCTGCATTTGCTTAAAGGAAATAGTCTTAAAATTCTAACAAATAAGCGAAGGTTGCTTGTTTTTGTTTTGTTTGTTTTGTTTTGTAGGCTTGATGTTAGGAAGGAGATGACAACAACAAAAAAAGGCAAGGAGATGACCTGATCTAACTGCCCTGCATGTCACACCCACAGCCTCTCCAGACCCTGCCCAGGAAACCCAGAGACATGGAGACAAAGAACCACAGCACCAGCACTTCCGGCTTCATCCTCCTGGGCCTCTCTTCCAACCCGCACCTGCAGAGACCCCTCTTTGCCGTCTTCCTCGCCATGTACCTGGTCACCGTGGTGGGGAACGTGCTCATCATCCTGGCCATCCACTCCGACTCCAGGCTCCACACCCCCATGTACTTTTTCCTCAGCAACTTGTCCTTCATGGACATCTGCTTCACAACAGTCATTGTGCCCAAGATGCTCGTGAACTTGCTGTCTGAGACAAAGGCCATCTCCTACGTAGGCTGCCTGGTCCAGATGTACTTCTTCATGGCCTTTGGGAACACGGACAGCTACCTTCTGGCCTCCATGGCCGTCGACCGCCTGGTGGCCATCTGCTACCCCTTGCACTATGACGTGGCTATGAACCCACGACGGCGCCTCTTCCTGCTGCTGGGGTCTTGCACCATCTCCCACCTGCACGCGCTCTTCCGCGTGCTGCTCATGTCCCGCCTGTCTTTCTGTGCCTCCCATGTCATCAAGCACTTTTTCTGTGACACCCAGCCTGTGCTGAAGCTGTCCTGTTCCGACACATCCTCCAGCCAGATCGTGGTCATGACCGAGACCCTGGCTGTCATCGTGACCCCCTTCCTGTGCATCCTCTTCTCCTACCTGCGAATCATCATCGCTGTGCTCAGAATCCCCTCTGCAGCGGGGAAGTGGAAGGCCTTCTCCACCTGTGGCTCCCACCTCACCGTAGTGGCCCTGTTCTATGGCAGCGTCATCTACGTCTACTTCAGGCCCCTGTCCATGTACTCAGTGGTGAAGGACCGGGTGGCCACGGTTATGTACACAGTAGTGACGCCCATGCTCAACCCTTTCATCTACAGCCTGAGGAACAAAGACATGAAGAGAGGCTTGAGGAAATTAAGGGAGAGAATTTACTCATAGAAAGAACCACAACTGGGCCACAATATCTAAGGGGTTATCAGGTTATCTTTCTTTCTTACCCATTCTCCAGAGAACACTCAAAAATGTCCTGAGAAGTGGTTTTGCATTCTTGTGAGAGCTCTGGCCTTGGAAAAACACTTGGTGTCTATTAACGGCTTTCACCAAATACATATTCAATCCCTGACCAATTATTACTGCGAACCCAAATTTCAGGAAAATTGTTTTAATCATCCCCAGTAGATTGGCAACATTTTACTGGGATAACGCTGTCTCCAGTGAACTCTTCTATAAACCTAATTGTGGTTAGTACTCAGTGAGTTAAAATTTCTTATGAATTTTCAGTAGAAACTACATGACTCTTATATGACATTGGAAAGAAATCTCAGAAGGGTCACCTAAGAGTTTCCTGAAGCATGGCCTGAAAATTAACAGATAAAGTTTCAAGATGAGGGAACATGTGTAGGCAATGCATTCGTGTGACAGTAAAACATCCTGTGAGACTGACAGTAAGGAGAATAAGACTGGAAACAGAAGAAACTACAAAATAGCTTTACTCCATTCATCAACACCAAAGTAATGGCAGTGTGGCTTCACAGTGCCTGACTCCCTATCCCCTCACTCTTAATTCTACCTTTCTCCACATGTCAGGCATCTCGATCTTCTGTCCTGTATGCCATGGAAAAAAATGAGTGCCAGCTAGTATTAGTTGGGTTACAAAGCAAAAACAAAAAAGCCCAATGTCATAGGACTTTACAATAGAAAGTCTGTTTCTTGTCCACACTACATACCCACCATAGAAAAGTGTAAGACTGTTTCTCATGTTAAATAATCAGCAATTTAAGATTATGGAGGTACCATCTTTGAAACCATCAATCACCATTCTGAATATTTCCTACTGCCTGAATATTTCACTCTTGAATATTTCATACTGCTAATTAAATAATTAAATAGTTCTGCCTGGGAATGAGACACACTACTTCTGAGGCAGAAACCATTGTCCACAACCAATCTAATGATCCCACCCATACACAGGGAGCAGAGAGGGCTTGAAACACTCATATTCCTCTGAGAAAAAGATAAATATTTGATTGACAGCATTAATGACTATTTTATAAATACAGACGCACAAACACCTGCTTCAGAAATTCTCCTTTACCATGTTAGTGTCAATATCAATAGTGGCAGGCTAATCCTCTGCCTGTGGCGCCAGCACCCTGGGTTCTAGTCCCAGTTGGGGTGCCGGATCCTATCCTGGTTGCCCCTTTTCCAGGCCAGCTCTCTGCTGTGGCCTGGGAGTGCAGTGGAGGATGGCCCAGGTCCTTGGGCCCTGCACCCACATGGGAGACCAGGAGGAAGCACTTGGCTCCTGGCTTTGGATCAGCGCAATGTGCCGGCCATAGTGGCCACTTGGGGGAGTGAAGTAACGGAAAAACCAAGACTTTTCTCTCTGTCTCTCTCACTGTCTAACTCTGCCTGTCAAAAAATATATATATATATCAATAGTGGCGTAAGATTATATTCTCTCTCAAATCCTTCTGCTCAGCTATGTCATTGAAGTTCAACAAAGATGAACAGATTTTCTGAATCACAAGTTTGTTATGGCAGGAACCAAATTTGAAAAGATGTCTTTTGGGCTTAAAGATATAAGAACAGCTGTAGGGTGCCCTAATGGAATACTGAGGCTCCAACATAAAGATCCCTGCCATTTCAAGGAAAAAATCAGTTTCCAGTGGCCTTCATATTTGTACAAGCATACCTGGATTTCACCACTATTTCCCACCAAATACAGTGAAGACACTGCCCTAGAAAACACAAATAATTACTTCCTTTGTTCACGTGTGATCACTACATGCCATAGTACTTATGACACACTTAACTAACAAGAGGCTACTGTAGAACATAAGGGACGATGGCCCACACTAATTTATAAAACTAATTAGGGAGGCCGGCACTGTGGCATAGTAGGTTAAGCATCTGCCTGCAGCACTGGTGTCCCATATCGGCGCTGGTTCAAGTCTCAGCAGCTCCACTTCCTATCCAGCTCCTTGCTGGTGGGCAGGGAGAGCAGAAGAGAGCCCAAGTTCTTGGGTCCCCGTACCCATGTGGGAGATGTGGAAGAAGCTCCTGGCTTTGGATCAGCCCATTTCAAGTCATTGTGGCTATTTGGGGAGTGAATCAGTGGATGGAAAACACCCCCCTCCTCTGTCTGTAACTCTGCCTCTCAAGTAAATAAATAAAACTTTTAAAAAAAGTAATTAGAAAAAATGGAAATATCAGAAATGAAGGACTTAATAGTAAGTAATATAAAAAATATAACACAACTCCAGCATCCTACTCAAAGAAAGAGTTGGAGTCCCTGTTGCTCTTTTTCTGATCTATCTGCTAATTCACCAGGGAAAGAAGCAGAAGAAGGCCCAAGTGCTTGGGCCCCATCCACCTACATGGGAAACCTGGTTGGAGTTCCAGGTTCCTGACTTTGGCCTGGTCCAGCCCCAGCCTTTGTGGCCATACAGGAGTGAAGCAGAAGACGGAAGAGTCTTTCCTTCTCTGTCTTTTCTGTTTGGCGATCTTTCAAAAAATAAAATAAATTTTTTTAAAAATAAAAAAATGGAAAGCCCTGACAACAGTGTATATTACATATTCACAAAAAGAATATCTGATTGTGAAGACACAAAATTGATACACCATTGGCCCAACTAACAAAAAAAAGAGAAGAACCTAATCCATGAAATTTGAGAAGAAAAAGGAAATATAACAACAGATACCACAGAAATATAAAGAATAATCAGGAATGACTACAAAGAGCTGTATGCCAACAAATTGGGAAACCCAGAAGAAACGGATAGATTTCTGGACACATATAACCTACCAAAATTGGAACTTTTAGACATAGAAAACCAAAACAGACCAACACCCAAGGTAGAAATTGAATCAGTAATAAAGACTCATCCAACAAAGAAAAACCCAGGACCTGACGGCATCACTGCTGAATTCTACCACTCAATTAAAGATTAACTAATTCCAATTCTTCTCAAGCTATTAAAAACAATTGAGGCCAGCGCTGTGGCTCACTAGGCTAATCCTCCGCCTGCGGCACCAGCACCCCAGGTTCTAGTCCCAGTTGGGGCACCGGATTCTGTCCCGGTTGCTCCTCTTCCAGTCCAGCTCTCTGCTGTGGCCCAGGAAGGCAGTGGAGGTTGGCCCAAGTGCTTGGCCCTGCACCCGCATGGGAGACCAGGAGGAAGCACCTGGCTCCCGGCTTAGGAGCAGCGCAGTGTGCCGGCCATAGCGGCCATTTAGGAGTGAACCAACAGAAGGAAGACCTTTCTGTCTGTCTCTCTCTCACTGTCTAAATCTGTCTGTAAAAAAAAATGAAAGGGAAGGAATCCTTTCAAACTCCTTCTATGAAGCCAGCATTACCTTCGTTCCTGAACCTGAAGAAGATATAACAGGAAAAGAGAACTATAACCAATTTCCCTGATGAACATAGATGCAAAAATCCTCAACAAAATACTAGCAATTTGAATCCAACAACACATTAGAAAGATCATTCACCCAGACCAAGGGGAATTTATCCCAGGTATGCAGGGAGGGTTCAACATTCACAAATCAATGTGATACATCACATTAACAAATTGAAGAACAAAAACCATATGGTTATCTCAATAGATGCAGAGAAAGCATTTGATGAAATACAACAGCCTTTCATGATGAAAGGGTATATTGGGTAAAGGAACATTCCACAACACAATGAAAGCGATCCATGACAAACCCATGGCCAGAAACCTATTGAATGAGGAAATCCTATTGAATGCTTCCCACTGTGATCCAGAACCAGACAAGAATGCCCACGCTCACCACTGCTATTCAATATAGTCCTGGAAGTTCTAGCTAGATCCATTAGGCAAGAAAAAGAAATCAAAGGGATACAAATTGGGAAGAAGGAGGTCAAACTATCCCTATTTGCAGCTGACATGATTCTATATATACGGGATTCAAAAGACACTTCTAAGAGACAGTTGGAACTCATAGAAGAATTTGGTAAAGTGGCAGGATATAAAATCAACTCACAAAAATCAATAGCCTTTGTATACACAGACAATGCCATGGCTGAAAAAGAACTTCTAAGATCAAACCCATTTGCAATAGCTACAAAAAACAATCAGATACCTTGGAAAAAGTTTAACCAAGGACATCAATTATCTTTATCATGGAAATTATAAAACATGAAAGAAATAGACGACACAAAAAAATGGAAAAAATTCTTTCATGTTCATGGATTGGAAAAACCAATTTGTCCATACTATCAGAAGTAATTTACAGATTCAATCAATCAAAATACCAAGGACATTCTTCTAACATACAGAAAATATGATGCTGAAATTCACATAGAAACACAGAAGACTCTAAATGGCTGAAGCAATCTTATCCAACAAAAACAAAGCTAGAGACATCACAATACTGGATTTCAAGACAAACTAAATAGCAGTTATAATCAAAACAGCCTGGTACTGGCAAAAAAACAGGTGGATAGACCAATGGAACAGAATAGAAAGTCCAGAAATCAATCCATGCATCTACAACCAATTTATCTTTGACAAAGGAGCTAAAACCAATCCCTGGAGCAAAGAGTCAACAAATGGTGCTGGGAAAACTGGATCTTCACATGCAGAAGTATGAAATTAGTTCCCCACCTTATACCTAACACAAAAATCCATTTACAAAACATCAAAGATCTAAATCTACAACCTGAAACCATCAAATCATTAGAGAACTTTTGAGAAACCTTCAAGATGTTGACATAGGCCAAGAGTTCTTGGAAAAGACCCCAGAAGCACAGGCAGACAATCAAAGCCAAAACTGACAAAATTGACAAATGGGATTACATCAAGCTGAGAAGCTTCTGCAACCTAAAGAAGCACTCAGCAAAGTGAAGAGGCAATCGGCAGAATGGGAGAAATTATTTGCAAGCTATGAAACTGATAAAGGTTTAATATCCA